TACGTAATGTACTAACTTTACCTTTACAAATTGAACAGCCGCTGTTCCATTAATAAATCAAATTAAAAGTTTCTCATTCTTTTTCATCATCATTCTCAGTACATTAGTAGTTGTTTTTGATGTTTCATTGCAGCAGTATTTGCTGTTTTATAAGAATCTTTCTATTTAGAGGGATTCTCTAACTGGCAATGCTAACTGTCACTAATTCGTATCACTTCTCATTTGTTTTAGTGTTTCATGGCTGGTGACAAAATCATTTGTCACACAAACAGTACCTGAGGTATGAACGAACAGATTCCTCCACCAACGCTTACAAGTGTTGGTGGATGAATCCACCGCTGTTTGCACTGTATTTTGACAGCAGCAGCCGGCTGCTTTCAGAATACTCAAACAGAGCTAGCAGCTTAGCTCCAAGCTCCCTTCAGCCGAGAATTTTCCATCTGGCTCCTGCAATCAGTTGATCGAGGGATTCCAGACGGAAGGGTGCTGACAGCGGCACCCACTGTGCGAATTTTAGTAAGTTCATCACTAACCGTCCAAAATTTGCACCGTGGGTACCCGTCTTGCATAGTGTTTAGGTCTAATAGTTGCAAGGGGACAGTACAGAGTAAGGACATACTGGGGTTTATTTAAGGCAAATAGGCTGTTCACCTTTCATGGGAATTTGCACTTTGTAAGTTTTCCTTTAGTTTAGTGAATGAGGTGAATCTCTGCTGATTTCCATCATCCAATCATGTGTGAGCAAAAATGCAATTGCAAAGTTAAATTTTACCACATTCACTAAGCTAAGGGAAAATTCCCCTGCAAATTGCAAATTCCCTTGCAAAGTGAACAACCTATTTGCCTTTAGTGAATCAACCCATTAGGTCAAACTTGCAAAGCTACTCAATGGGCCTTTAGTCCTTAACAATACTGCTAAAGTATGTGTGCCTGTGTTTAGGTTCGCTCGGAACACTTCACATGTAAATTTAAAAAAAGGTCCAGTCTACTCCCTTTGCCTTCTCAGTTCAAACAGTGTTTCTTTCAGTATAGATGTTTGAAGGAAAATCATAATGTTTTTGGTAATTTTTTAGTATACAAGTATTCCTTTTTCTATCTTTCCATGATTGATTATTTATTTAAAAACTTTATTTGACAAATAAACATTTAATATTGAGTGTACTCATGACACTGATTTTTCTCGGGTTTTCTAAAGATACAGCCCAGCAGCACTATCTGCTTACAGTCTAATATAAAAACCCCATGGGCCCTATGAGAAGAGAAGAGGGAGGGCTGTTTGTCAATGTTCTGGCTCATTCAACTTTGTGTGTAATCTGTGCACCTGCATTTGAGGTATGTTCACATTACAGACTATTTTCCAAATAAAAACCCCCCAAACTTTGTATGCTTATTTACATGTTTGTATGTTTCTTAAAGAACAATCAAGACGTTTTGGTCCACGATCAAAAATAAAGAAATACCTGATCCTCGGTTCTGCAGCAGTAACTGGTCACCTTGCTCCCCGTCCTCTCCAGATGTATGTCCCTCAGAGTCTTTACATCTAATAGATCTGTATTGGATCCTTAGAGTGCCGGAGCCCTGGGGAGGAGAGACTGCTGGGACCGGTTTAGCAGCCAGGTGAGACAGAGGATCAGGTATTTCTTTATTTTCGATCCCTAGACAAAACGAGCACTCAACCCTTGCAATGTGGGGGTCATTTTCAAAATTCTGGAGTTCTGCTTTATCTGAGGACCTTAATTTATCACTAACAGGGGTAACATCTGACAAATTAATGAAAACCAAAAAGTAGCCAAAAACATTCATGAAATCTTGCTCTAGGTCAGTCAGACATGCAATCTCCAACACACAAGTGAAAACATTTGCCTGACATTGCCTGCTTACATTTAGATTACTGAATGACAACAGACATCTCCTGCCCGAGCCTTGTTGGGGGGGAAAGCTGACTGGCTGGGATGGATTTTTGTGGCTAAACACTATTGCTTTTCCCCTAGAGAGCTGAGCACTAGGGGTTTTCTGTCGAGCACTCCTGCCGCCATCTCAATAGGTACAAGGAGCAGGAGGGCACCGTGAAGCGTGAATTTAGGCAGATCCAGTGGCTAAATACCAGGTCTCTTTTATAGTATGTAGTGTGAACCTGAAAAAAAGAGCATTGGGGCATGTTTATTTAACAAAGAAAGCAAACAAATGGCTAATAGCAATCAATCAGATTCCATCTCTTTTCTGGTGATTATAAGGAAATATAAGACGTCAGTCCACTTTTCCACTGATGTCACGAGTGTTTATGCTTTGTGTGCAAATGCCACTATTGCCAGCTATAAAACGCTGCTTATGATCCTCCTTTATTGGCAGTGATATGTTCCAATTATTATAAAGCAATGAACCAGTATTGGTGTGGCAAAAATCAACAGGTAAAAAGGTAAAGCAAACACCTTACCTTTATATTATTTTCAAAATGTATAGAATATATACTGTATACATATCACAAATCAGTTTCAAATGGTATACCTGACAATAACATACAAAAACCAACAATGCATTTTCTTTATTATTTATTTATTTAGGTCAATTAAAGGCATACAATGTTTCATTGAAACTCAAAACGACTTCACCAACACTTGTTGGCTTAAACAATAGTCATATTTTACATTTATACAAGAGATGCTAAAATATGTATTGCATGAGCCCCTATGTTGTATTTAACAGTAAAATAAGCAAAATCCATGTGCTAATTCTACTACCCCATGAATGGCAAAACCATTAAGAAAAAAAGATAACTGATTTATTTACAAAAATGGACCCCTAGCTGTCAGTTGTTTTATTAGACATAATATGGACCTTCCAAGCACTGTAAAATAGTGTACTGCAAACATAGAAGTAATTTCATTCGTTGACCAATCTGATTTTTGTTTTTTTCAACTATTGTAATGGAAGGCCCAAAGTCAAACGTTTATAAAAAAACAAATCAAACAAATTATAGAGTCAAGAATTCTGAAGTAGTACTTGTTATGAAATATCCAATCATAGTTTAATAAGCAGCTACAATTTTCTCCATTTCTAATATTCTATATACAGTATCTTATAGAGGGTGATGAGGTTTTTGCTTGTTTAAAAACCTTTTCAGTGTGTTACACGGTGTAAGTGTTAAGTTTGTATCATAGGAAAGAGACTGCCTAAAAATAAATGTGTTATACCTTGCTTAAACGATCAAAGTCCCTATTAAAATGGCATTACCACTTCAGGCTATGATGTTAACCGTAAGGTGTTTCTTACGATGTCTGCTGCTGACAGATATTCGAACACAGCCAAGGATGGGTTCCTGGCATGTCCAAAATGGGCTAAAAATTTCCCTAGTAATTTTGGCAGTTGAACAAAATCTGACAACGAGGTTATTGATGTCTATGGTGAAATGCCATACACATGGGTCTCCTTCTATAATATGTTACAAAGCAGGAGGTAGAGTAAATTTTGCTTTATCAATTGCTCCAACATTTGTCTTACCAGACCCTTAACTTATGTAAACATCTTTCACTTTCCAAAACTGCTTAAAGCTGACTGAATGCTATGGTAACCTCTTCATTGTTGTTTTTTGAGGCATGTTATTAAATAAAGGCTTATATGAGCAAGATGTCAGTGTCTTTCCAAAAGGATCCTTGCTGTCTGGGTATGCTTTTAAAGCTCTATAGTTGGAAAGTGGAGAGGTATAATAATACAAAACCGTTTTCACTGAAATGAACAGGAACATGTTTTTGTCCCAAGCTTTAATTCCCTTTACACCGCATTACTGAAGAAATAAACAGCTCACTCTTAAATAAAAACACTACTGGTAGGGGCATTGATGTCACAAGATATGTACTGCTTCATTTCTAGGTTAGAGGTTCCCTTGAATGCTTTGTGTTAACCATCTCCAAACAATGATGAAGACGGTCAACATATTTAACAAATAAAAATGTATCTACAACTGAAATATTTACAGGCTATTTATATATTTACACAGTTCTTTTATACATATATCATAAATATTGAAAAATAGGTTGCTTTTAAATGAGTCAATGTTCTACAAAGAGCACATTAGAGTATATATTCATCCGTGGAAGACAATGAGATGATAGAAGTGGCGTTTTAAAGATTTTCATGATGAAAAGGTGTGTTAATGTTATTTTCCTTGGTTATTTATAGCAGGTATTTGAACTATCACACTGCACATGTTATACACCTGTATTTATATTAAAAAATTATATAAGTAGTGTGTTCATACAGAAACAGCTTTATCTGCTGTGTACATAAGTTGGATAATAATATCTGTATGGTAAGACTGTGCGTTAATTATGTGAATAGCAATGCAATCTACTGTACATTATATGCGAGAACTAACAATATATTGTTGTACCGGTTTGTTGTGTACGTATTGCCTATACAGAATGTCAGCAATCTGTAGTAGGTATCAATATAGTATTAGTTACATCAATAATGCATGTTTCAGCTCCTGATAAAAATGGCTTTTGCAAAGCACGTTATTAACTCTGCATAGGAAGCAAGTACACTTTAATTTGGAACAGTCTGTTTAGTCTTGCATGTAACATATATGGTTTCAACCTCTTGGTATCTTATGCTCACATGCAAGAAAAAAACTGTAAAATATTGTGTAAAGACTTATGGCCTTCTGGTGATTTTTCAGTCATTAAACATTCTAAATTGGCAGTGTAAGTGTGACTTACAGGATTGTGGGGATTACTTTCTACAATGCACACAGTAAACATGTTCTGAGCAATAGAAGAACAAATCAGGCCCTGTGGTTCATGTTTAGGAAAACAGAAAACAAAGTTGCTCAAGTAATTCAGTAATTTATAAATTAAACATTTAAATATTGAAAAAAAAACTATACATGATGTAAACTGTCAAGGGCTGCAATAAATTAGCCATTTAAATATCTCACGTATGTACCGTGCGTAGAAGATACCTGCAAGTAACATGATAAAGGTCTGATCGTTAACTTTTTTTTTAACATCCTGTGTTGCTTAAATAACCAGGTAAGAATAATTTGACAAAGTCGTTGCACCCATGCTAAAAGGAGTATTTCGACTTTCAATTTTTTTTTTCATGTTCAGAAAGGCCATTTCAGTATGAAGATAAACTACACTTTCCAGCAGTAAGCTGGTGACACAGAAAACATTGTTCAGTCTGCTTTTACAAATGTTTCTCTCCATATCCCATGCTCAAGTGAATATTTACTAAAATACTGACTATGTTTAAATATACTGAAGCAAACCAGTAAAGGGTTCTTTAAGCACAGTTTCTGTGTAACTCCCCTCAGAAATGTGTCCAATTTGGTGAGCAATTTTTGGTACAAAAAGAGGGGAGGGATCTGAACCCTCCACCAGATGAACACTTTTGCTGTGTAACATTTACTCACTTCAAATGGTTCCTGTAGGCACATTCAAGTAATAACATACAAGTATGAGTAACAATAATTGACAACAACCAACCATGTGGCTTCAATAAAGTTTAGATTGTGTGTCCATTCTCCAGAATGGAATAAAATTACTTCCTTCTGCAAGAACCTTTGGAATAAAGAAGGCATTGTCCTTGTTGAGATGTAGAACTAATCTCTCAAGAGTCTCTTTGTTCTACAAGAATGGATGTCTTGAAGGAAGTTAAACTGCAAGCAATGGTTACATTTCATTCTCAGTAGAAAGGTTGGGAGTGAACAGTTCCACTTCAAGAAAAGTGCCATGTTGCTCACCAATTTGTCTAGTGTTTGTCAGGAGAAGCACTGTGGATCCAGTCAATAATAATCAAGGTCATACTTCCAGTCATAACCACAAAGCCGCTAATGAGGAATAGTGTAGCCTACAAAAAAAAAAAGAAAGTTGTAATTTCATCTGTAGAGTTAGTGTGATTATATGAAATGAGCCAGAGTACCTGAAGTTAAATACAATGATTGTCATACATTTTATGAATTATTATTAATGTTTATTATTCTACTTTCTTTTTTACACCTCCAAACAGTATGGGGGTTTCACAGTATGAAAAGGCCGGGGTCTCATTTTAGCTCTCGGAAGGCTTAGCGCCATATTTCTATGTAGCTAAAAGGCCATGATTAAGTATGGTTATATATGGTCACTATTTTCAAGCTGACAATAAGTATTTGTACACTGAATACACATTTGAGTATTGGCAGTAAGGTAAAAATGTATGGCCTTTTCAACAGAGAGGAAAATATACCTAGAGGGTTATTCACTTCAAGGAGCCGAAGGATTAAGCAGAACCTTTGCCAATCCTTCGGCTCGCTTCGACTGCGGGAGCCCTTCGGTTCAGTGGAACCAAAAGGCCGCTGTACGGGCTATTCACAATAGCCCGTACAGCATATGCTTCGGCTCAACTGAGTTTAACACACAGCTGAAGCGGGGAGAACAGTCTGTCGAAGCAGACTGTTAACTCCACAATATGTAAACTAGGGTTGCACAGATACCAAGTACAGTGCTCGGTACAAGTATGAGTACATGTACCGATACTTTTGAGCTCCAAGACTACACTAGAGAAAAATTAAAAAATTAGGAGGCAGCTGTCATTTGTAAGGAGCACACGGAGCTCCTGGGATTTGTACATCTCTGTTTTAATGTACGATTTTGTTTTTATAAATATAAATAAAGGGATGCACAGATACCAGTTTTGCGAGTACGAGTACTGGTACTTTCCGAGTACTTACAAGTACGAGTACTGATACATTTTTGTTTATTGTCATGTGACAGTTTTTCTAAAGCAATACAGACTAATGATTTCAGGACAGTGGTGGAGCGCCAGAGCCCGGCCCCAGCTGCAACCGCAGCAACCCTGGTAGTTCTCATGAAAATGCTAAGTATCTGCACTGGTACTCGAAAAGTATCTGTGCATCCCTAATGTAAACAAATAAATAAACACAGCGTGGGCTCCTCCTCCCAAACGTTATAAATGTAAGGAGGGACCCCCATTTAAAAATACAAAAAATGCCCTGACCAATCCTAGACTGTCTCCCCCCTGATATCGGCCGATTCCCTGTTTATTTTTTGTGTGCAGCTGCTGTCTGAATACAAAGAAAAAAAAGCATCAGATACAGTAACAGGGGAAGCATTAGCTCCCTGTTATCTGCTGATTCCCCAGCTATGTTTGTTTTTTTTCTATTATTCTGACAGCTGTCGCAGCACGCCGTCAGAGTAAAGAAATAAAAAAACAACAAATAGCATAGGAATGAATAGCTAGGCTGCTATTGGCCATTTCAAATTGGAATAGCCAATAGTAGGCTGGATATTGCACCCGCCTACTGCTGCTGTCAATCAGCAGAGGTGGACCTCATGGAGAACTTCAGATCCACCTCTGGTGATTGACAGCTTCATGGCTGAAGCTGACAGCTTTTTCTCCATTCAGATCGGCATCTAACAGGTTACACAGCAGGGAAATCCTCCCCGCTGTGTAACCGGTCACGGAGCCTCAGTGGTGAGGAGCAAGTGAGGGACACGGAGGCTCCTCCCTTCCTCCTTTACACTAGCTTTGGGACGGGGCTTTGTCTGGCGGGGGCGGAGCTTAAGACGACAGGAGTCGGAGCTTTGGTAGGCGGGGCTGGGGAATGCCTCACCTTGAGCAAGAGGTACCACATGTCACTGGTCATTACAATGAGAGCTTAGCGGAGCCGGCTTTGATATTACCGCTGGCGCAGCCGAGCTCTCATTGTGATGACAGCTGGTCCCGGCCAATAGAAAACAATTGGGTGGAGCTAGATGTCACTGCTAGCTCCGCCCAATCGGTTTCTATTTAAAATTTTTTTTTTTTTTTACTGTTTTTCTATTCTGCTCGGTACCACGGAGGTATCGAGCAGAATAGCCGAGCCAAATGCCGCTGGGCGGCATTCGGCTATTCATTCACTGCTATTCGTCCCCTATGATAATAGGCCGAACAGCAGGAGTAGCCTGCCGGAGGATCAGCTTAGTCGATCCAAATGTTGGATCGGCTGAGTCGAACTCCTTCTGCACTTCGGGTCGGCCGAACACGCTGAGCATGTTTGGCCGACCCGAAGCCAGCAAGCCGATGTACAGCTGATTTTAGCCGGTGTACAGCTGAAATCAGCCGCACAAGCCTGAAGTGAATAGCCGAACAGCGTTCGGCTCACTTCACTTCGGGTCGGTTATTCACACGGCTGCCTTCGGCAGCTTTGTGAATAACCTGCCTAGTGTTTAACCCTGGTTGACTAGAGTAAATTTTGGGTCTACTGTATGTGCTCTTTCTAAACTTGGACTATTTGAAGAACACATAGATTGTAATAGACAAACAAACATGCAAACATATACACTATGAAACAGAGTTCTGATTGTTGCTGTACAAAACCATCTTTCACATAATAGGATGCTTACCCCAATCTTCTGCACTGATCTCATGGGTTCCTTTGTCACTAGCTTGAGGTAAAAAGCTGATGGCAGGATAAAGACCAGCATAGCAGCAGCAGAGGCACCTAGAATAAAACATTACAATAGAAAAGATTAATTAGTTTCTACACAAGCAGCTGATTATTAAATAAACTATTTACTGCCAGGCATCATTTTTTCCAGTGGTATACAACTTATTTACTCCCAATGCAACACAATGGGGTCTATTCACAAAGCTGCCGAGGGCAGCCGTCTCGGCCAGCTTCGTCTTTCAGCACGGCTCAGCGCTCGACTGAGCTGCTCGGCCGTGATCGGGAGCTGTACGGGCTATTGTGAATAGCCGTACAGCACCCCCTCGGTTCTCCTGAACCGAAGGGGTCCTGGTGCCGAAGCTAGCCGAAGGATCGGCCGAAGCTACGGCCAGATCCTTCGGCAGCTTTGTGAATAGACCCCAATGAGTCTAATGCATAACTAAGAAGAAGCTGACAGATAGATCATGCATTTTGGACATTATCTTATCTTTTGCCATGGACCAAATGACTCACCAATAAATCCAAAGATATCCCTGATGGTTGGGACAAAAATGACCAGGAAATTGGTGAATGCCAAAATAAGAAGTGTGATCAGAATGTGGCGCCACCATGCAAAGTCCTTCCCAGAGCACAACAGCTGAGTGATGGAGCTGCGGATCTAATATAAAGCATAGCAATGTTGAGTACATTCAAAACAACACAAGAGGAAAAGTAAATCAACTGACAATATAGAAACTTTTTATCTACAGATGCAGTAAACTCATGCAACACAGCTTGCATTAAAATTTCTTGTGCCCTACAATGCAATTTTTATGTAATGTAATATTATGATCAAAGATAATGTTCTGCAAAAAATATATACTTGCAGCCAGCTTTTCCATGTGAACTTGTTTATGTTTATTTTGTCTTTCACAGTCTCCAATAAAATCTAAACTGCATTTTGTTTAAGAGTTGTACTGCATTTACAGTTAACTGAATGTTAGCTATATTGCATTTATAGGTGTCCATCCTAAATTTAAATATATATATATATTTTAAAGTAACAGTACTTACTGGGAAAATAACAATAGGAACAGTTAGTGTGACAGCCATGAGAACAGCCAAGCGCACAACGACAAATATTATTCCGGCTCCTGGAACCTTGGAGTAAGTGTGGAGTAATTCCGGCTCGACCCGTCCTGTTGACAATAAAAAGACAATTGATTTTGTTTGATATACTGTATATATATATATATATAACTATACTGTATATATTTAAGGTTTGTACATATTGAGAACCCTAAAACTATTTGTTTATTTAACTCTGTTGGGAGGACTGTGTCACTGTCATTTAGCTTTGCATTGTCTGTGCAAGCTGGGCTGAGATGTGTCAGGCATATATTGTCACTGGATTCTCTGAAAACTATGCAAAACAGAAGTATCGATTTTTCAGTGAAGTTGGCTTTTATGATACGATTGTCAAGTACTTGAATGTTCCCTGATACCCCAAAAATGCTTAGAGAAAGTATTTTGTTAGCAGTATGTGATATAGATAGATAAGTAATATATAAAAGGAAGTGATGAGCAAGTTCACAGATTTGCTATGCTTGTGAACCATCAGACCTGAACTGGCAAACAGCCAATCACCGCAGATCAGTATAATTCACTGAATCAGGGTCCAGGCCCAGACTCACTTATCAAGAATGAAAGGGTTTGATGATAATGATATTTTTAGATTCATGGATTTGAAGCAGGTTCATAATATAGTGAACTGTGCAGAGAGATTTAAAGATTAAATGATATTTAATAAAAAAAGATTAGGAGAAGGAATTGTTTTGGCATATCAAATATCCTGACACAGCACTTAAAATGTACCCCAATAAAATGGGATTAAAAGGAGAAAGTGGATAACTTTTCAAAAACAGGCTGATAGGAGTTTAGTTGCATCAGGTTTCATTTACTGATTAGCATCTACAGACAGAACAAGTTGGTAGCCTTAGATGTTGAATGTATTTTATGTAATACACATGAATTAGTAACTGAGTAATAATTACCATAGAAAGTCAAATATCCGAAGAGAGCAGCCAGAAGATACATGACAAACATAGCGGAAAAGGACACGTTTGAAACATTCATCATCCTTTTGCGGCTGCGGCTGCAGGAGGGAGAATAAGATACTTTTAGTACATGCCCATTGGCACTCAATGCTCTTTTCCTGGCTTAAAATAGAACAGAACATACCCTTTAAGTTCCTGGTAAATGGGAAGGACAGCTGGGTGACAGACAAAGGAGAAAGTTAAGATGGGTACCGCATACACCGTCTGCAACAGAAAAAAAGGCAAAAAACTCAATTACTCAAATAAATATAACCTAAAATCCCTACCAACATGTGTATGGTTAGATCATAACAAAGCACGATAAATGAGTGTTGTCTAAGAATGGGTCAACTTTACCAAACCATTTTTACCTGGGAGTTGTAGACAAAGTATTTTGGTGTGCACATTTCACCATCAATGGTCTCGTTCAGCTCAACACTGTGTATCGGAGCATGTGTGGTTAAGTGAGTCAACGTGTGGTTTAAAGTCATGTTGATAGCATCATTTTCCAGCAAAAGAGGACACGTGAGCTGAAATTTCTTGTAGATCACCTAAAATGCAAAGAACAAAGACGATTAAAGACAGCATAAATATTTTAAATAAAAATAGTGTCATAGACATAGCTATGGTCTCCACCAAACCAACTTCACCAATCACTAAAATGTTGGTATCACAAATTATCAGCTAGTGACAAGTTTCCATGTTAATGTACATCAGCCAGTCCTAACCAGTTCCAGAGTCACAATCATATATAACAAAAGGGAGCAAGACACTCCATTTATGATAAAAAAATAACGCTCAAAAAAGATTTGAAATATAATATACCATTATTTCCAGTAAACTTTTATCAAATTGGAAAAGATCTGCACTCAGTGAGACCAACAGGAAGCAATGCCAAATCTTATGGCCACATGTGACTCCAACTCACTGGTTCAGGATTATGTATACTGCCTATTTTTGTCTCGTCAATATACCTATATGCTTCAAAAACTTGTCTACACAAGTGTGGTAATTTAGAGGGACAAGTCTACCCAAAACTAGGGATGCACTGATATCGATACCGAGTATTTAAGCAAGTACTTGCGCAAATGCTCCGATACTTACCCCCGATACTGGAACTTCCGCTCAGGAAGAGATTTCCTCTGACTGGCAGTGGCACGAGGGAACATGGAGCTGGCTTCCCAGCCAATCATGAACCCGGGTGGAGGGTAATGACTCGCTGGCCGGCTTCATGCTATGTGGCTGGCTCGATGCTGATTGGCTGGGAAGCCAGCTTTTTGGCCAATCAACATCGAGGTAGCCAAACAGCATGGAGGCGGCTTCACGGGCAATCAGGAAGCTGGACTGTGGGTAAAACCTGCCGCCCGGCTTCCTGATTGGCCTGCTAGCCGCTCTCCATGCTAGTGGAAGTACCAGTACCAGCGAGTACCAAAAAATAAATATTGGTACTCGTACTAAATACTGAAAAAACAGTATCGGTGCATCCCTACCCAAAATCAATGACCCAGCTTTTGTCTTGCACTATTGATTTAAATCATATGAACTTGTTTTAAGCCTGTTCCAGCAAATATTAGCGGTTTTCACATTACTAGACTACATTTATGTTATAACATAGAGACTGCAACAGACGAACAGAGGGAGTGGAGACTTTAAAAAAAAGAAAGACTGAGTGGATGGAAACTGAACCAAGCTCTAAGACAGGAAGTTCTTGCACCTTGGGTCCCTAAAAAATATAAGAAGCCAGCAGGTGTCTTCACCCACCAGACACTGGTAACCACTAGCATATAATTTTGAGAAGACTGACCCTTTAGTAATATACTTACAACAATGAGGAAGAACACCATACACAGCAGTGAAAAGCCACTCGTGTAGCCCAAATATCCTGGAATAAAAATAAAGAGAACTTAGAACATAAAACACAATTTGAATATCTTACAGATAAGTTACGAAGCACAATTCAAAAGAAAAAGAATAGCAAAATATTACGGGTCAATTAATAATAATTTGTAGTACAAAACTGGCCAAACAAATTACAATTTCCTCTAGATGTACCAACAACTATGTAGTGTAAGAGCCTCACTGACTAGATGTAAATTTAGTAAATTGTTTGGCCATGTAATTGTTCTTAATAGAGTTAAATAGATTATATAATCAGATTGTAAGGAGTTAATTTCACATCATGAAAAACTTACCCAGGTTTCTCAGTAGTGACAACGGAAGTATGAAGATCACAGAAACTATTATAACCAAATAATCTCCATTTAGGTACCAGTCACTGAAAAAAAAAATCAAAGCATAAATTCAGAGGCAGCATAGTAAATAGGATTTGTAAAATTGCGTTGTGTAATCATAAGGTCATACTACTTAACAGTTCCTTCTTTCAAACCCAGGAAGAACATTAAACGGCTTTAACAGTCACAGCTGGATGATTTTATTATAATTTTTAAAGTTATGTAAACTGGAGTGTGTCATGCTAATGCTATCACATGCCTTTGAGGGAGCGAACACAGTACTGGTTCAAGAACTAATAAAACTACGCTCAATATTCCAGCATTTAGCATGTAACTGCCAGTAAAGGGCTTGTTTTGGCATCTTATGAGTACAAGGTATTAGAACATGCTTTCTTAGGCATGCCTTTGCTTAACAGAGAGCAACTGAAGAGAGCACTCTATTTGCCCACAGGCATGCATTTCAGTGGAATGTGGTGCGTTAAGTCACTAAACAAAAATACTTTGAAGCACTGCAAAGACTGCTAAAGGGACTGGCCTCTGTTATAAAACTTTTAACACAACAGAATAAGTAAAGTATGTTGGCCCTGTTAGAAAACAGAAAGCTACTGAAGATAACCAGTCTTTATAGCACAGGACTGGTTTCCTCACTTGGTTCACCTGCGCCCAGCTCACATCTCAATATGTGTTTCCACGGTCCCACATGGTTGACTACTGGGGCTCTACTCTGGGACATTCTACTGTCTTTTATCAGATTTTTCCTTAGGTTCTTAGTGTATAATGAATGTAAACTTTTCAGAGAGGGTTACTCTGATCACTGACCCTCATATATACTAATCACTGCTATAGCCTATACTTGCTTGGCCCCTCACTTAAGGTACTTCTTCTCTTTGGACTGGGTGTTCTTCTGAGCAGGGCACTTTTTTTTTTACCTTATTACTTTCTTTCCAAATCATACAGTTCTAGGTTAAAGCTTTTAAAACTCTCAATAATGATTAAATATAACTTCTTAATACCAAAAGTTTAAGTTACTAACTTTATATGTAAAATAAACTGTGGCTATGCTGAAAAAATAAAGTTTCATGGGGTCTTTTGTATCACTTCTCAAACAAATAAAAGTTTGCAATATACTTACTTAGCATTGGGATCAGCACCGGCTAGCTCCTTGATTACAAGAGGCAGTTCATACTTCACTATATAGAGGTAGCTTGACATTGCTGCAAAAATAAAGGATATGGTAAAAAAAGCACTTTCTTATATATAGCTGCATGTTGTGATACTGGTAGAAGTGAATTACCTACCTCCAATATTTTGCATGGTTATAGATCCAGAAGCTGCAATTTTTCCAAATAGGCCAAATGCTTTATATCCCAACTGCTCATATAATAAGGAACCTAAACAAATTAAAACATTTTATCAATGAAGATTTCTCAAATGCTCATGTCGTTCACAAGATATGACATATCAAATACATACCTCCTTCATTTGCTGTCTTTAACAGTAGGTGAATGGAATAGAGAGAGAATATTGACACAAATGTCAACAGGATCCTAAAACACAAAACAGAAATAAATGGGTGAAAGTTGCCAGCAAAGGTGTGTTAGAGCAATGTAATAAATATTGATGTATATGAGGACTCATGGCTTCGATCCCACTGTCTGACACATTACTTTATTATTACACAAGGCCAGCCCAAACCTGTCACTTTCACACTGTACTGTGAGTTATCGCACTTGCTGCGTCATGTATTATCATAACCCTTTGAAGGCTGCAAAATACCCCTTGGGCCACGCATCTCTAATTTTGCAAGTATGTAAGCAGTGATACCTTATAAAAAACACATTAAAGGAGAACTATGGTGTTAGGGCTTTTCCCCACAGTTCTCCTAAGGTTAACGGGAGGACACAAACTAGCGTCCTTCCGTCACCAGGTCTCAGTATACAGCTACAGCTGTACTGTATACTGTACAGCGTCTACAGCTCGCGGTATACTGAGACGCTGCAGCCGGAACGAATCCCGACAATTCTGTCTGGATCCACCCACCCCCTCCCCCGTCCGTTCCGCCAGTCAGCGCTGGAGGATCGGACAGAGGAGGGGTGGGGGGAATCCCTGCAGGGCGCCGTGAGTGACAGTCACGGCTCTCTGCACGGATAGATCGGGAAGTGAGCGAGAGCCGGTATGTGTTCGCTCACTTCCCGATCTACTGAGCCGACCTGTGACAGTTTCATTGTCACAGGTCGGCTCAGATTATGAGGCTGAGTGAGAATCACTCGCCTCATAATTCTCCTTTAAAGAAACAACATGCAGTATTTGTTTAATCTAAGCTAATAATGTAAAGCTAAAAAGTAAACCAAATGGTCACCGCTTGCACATTTTATAGGTGCCCTCTATATTTCACATATTACAGGATAATGTACAAGGAATTTAAAAGAATGATGCTTCAGAGCTCCTAATGTTCTTTGTTTGTTATTGTTTATTACAAACTTTAAAGAAAAGAAGCCTGCTGGTAATACAAATAATGTTATGAGTAAATGGCAGTGCCCATGATTGTTTGCAGTGGTGGTGACCAATATCGTTGAAAAATGTCAGCGCTGCTTATATAATGACTAAACAAAGGTCTCCAATAAGAGATAAGACCTACATAAAAATATAGATGATACCAGTGAACTAATGGTACTACCAGCTGCAAGAGCTGAAGAGAAAGTGTGACTTAGACTAAAGAAATCGAGGGTTGGATTTGTGCTTTGTTTCACTGTTAGAAAGCAATGTTTCCTTTATTTTAAAAGGATGGTATTGTCTTAATGTGCCTCATTTTCGGAACTAAAAGGCAGTGCCAAAACTGTACAGAACACTGCACAATGGAAACAGTGTACATTGTTGTTCTTTATTAAATAATAAATATTCCTTTCCAAATCATATCCTAGATATGCTGCCCCTAGTGGTGACTAGTAAGAATACACTGCCCTATGTGACATCTACAGAAAGCCTCAGCACAAAATGACAAGAAAACAAAAAAAAAAAGGACATCATTGAAAATGAGATACTTACATAAATAGTGCAATCCCAGTGTTAGCCATGGCATAGGATAGACCTAGAATTCCACTTCCCACAATGGCGTTACTGAGGTTAAATACTGACATGCCAAAAGATGTGGTCCCTGGAAGCTAAGAAGAAGAATAGAGTATGTTAATGATGTAACAAAAAACATACACCATACGCAGCCCATTCTATCCTAGCTTATCGAGACATTTAAACATGCACACGTAGGGATGTACTTACGTATTCAGTCTCACATTTCTTCTTTGTCAAAGTAGGCTCCAGTAGGAAATTTTGGTTCTCTGGATCCATATCATAATGCCTAAAAATGAATTAACACTTAATGAGTTGTGTGATCTAGATCTCCAATGAGCATCAAATATTGTGCAAGAGTTTAATCACATAAGATGCAATTGCACTTAAATATAGAGTTTTATAGCAATATTGTTGCACTATAATGAAACGCATATAAACGAAGGGTACTAACCCTTTAATAGATAGATTCTTTGCTGGATATTCCGGGTAATTGAAGTCATCGTTGCTGTTGGAACTAGCACTGTCCTCATCCGGAGAAATATTAAACCTTCCCATCTCTTGTTTGCTCATATTGATAATAAAAGATGAACCAAGAAGGTGTTCACGAGGACAGTTGATGTAGTCTGTGTGGCTGTGCCTGCAAGGAAGGAAAACGTCAATACTGCAGTGGGCAACATGACCACGTGATGCTTTATCATCACGAGCCAGCTGAAAAGGGAAAGATGGGAGGAGGTTTGAGAGTGGAAAAGTACTAGCTCTTCTCATCTACAATACAGCAAATTCCAAGTAACAAGGACCGCCTCATCCCCCCTCCCTATGTCCCTCTCCACCCTCACTTGTCAATCATAATGCATTCCAAGGCCATGAGCAGATATTTAATCCCACCGAATTCAGGGCATTGTGTTATGGGTCTTCCATATAAGAATACGATACATTATTTAAACGCTTTAATAGTAAAGTCAATCATTATTAAAGTGGTCATCATCACCACTCTTATACTATATTGATGTTAAACCGCCTGGGTATTACATGACAGCATTATTGTGAAGGATAAACCATAATGTTGCTTCACCATCTACCATCATTAACAGACACAATGACTGTCGGGCTAATGTGATTATCATGAAAAACACATCTATATAACCCAGGGGAATAATGAGCATATATTTTCTCATCAATGATCATAACAAATATACATAAGACACATGGCAATTAAATGTAAAAGGTTCAACGAAAAGAGATGTGCTGCAAGCTCTCACAAGCAGGGACCTCCTAACCCTCTTGTCTTGATTTGCACTGAAATTGTATGTTTTCCCTTTATATAAAGCCTGCATAATAATAATTACCCTAAATATACAGCAGGTTTAAAATAAAACAAAACTCCGTAAATAAAAAATAAAGGAAAAGGAATTGACTAGGTGGTTTTAAAAAAATCCACTAGACTAACCGATAGCTAAATCAGACAGTATTTCAAGAAAGAAGGTGCTTGTGTCTAGAAAATTCTCCATAGGGGCTGAGTTTAGAGGAGAAAAAAAAAACTGAATAAGCAGCCAGCAATGCTGTACATTGAAGCACTGTATGGCCACTCCTTGTTTCCACTCCCTTACTTCTACACAGTAACCTCTGCTCTACCAGAGAGACAGAAATCTGATGCAACAACCACACACTATTGAAACAGATCCCATCCAAGCTAAATGGTTTCCTCTGAACACACTGACGCCTTAAGCCCAATGAAACCAGCTCCAAAATCCATAGTCACCAGAAACAAATGAGCACGGAATGGATAACTGATTCCATTCACTGACCTCATCCACAGAATTAATAAATGATAGATAGACATATACGATAGATAGATAGATTCTAGAGGATAGACAGATAGAATTCAGATAGATAGACTGTTTACGTAGGGACCTGGTGCAGAAAGTGAACCAAGGCCCTACTACATTCCTTATTATCATCACCTACACAAATATCTCTCCATGTAATACATATCATAGAAGTCTCTACAGTTCAGACACAACCCAGAAGCCTCTACCTCCATATTGTGTTCACCATCGGGCCATCCAACCTGAGCGCTTACATACAGCCCCTACAGAGAAAGACTATACATCTATGTAGGATAGAATCTTTTTTGCGATATCATTAATTCATACTATAGGTGATAGACATCTATTCACCTTCCAGCCAAAAGACCCGCCCAGTCTCCTACCCTGCTGATGAGTAAATCTGCCCATCCACCAGTAGAAATTGGTATAAAACAAAAGATTTGTTTTCTGAAGGTTCGTGCAATTTTCTAATAGTTAATGGGGGTCGAACAAATGATCGCTTTAGTCCGTAACGATGAAGAAAAAAAAATGAAAGGAACTGGATGGAATTTTTTTTCTTCTCTCAACGAATGAATGCGGTTTTCGTTCAGGAAGCTCCATTCATTCCAAAAATCCAATCATTAAATTCAAAACGAAATCTCCAATGACCTTTCTCAAGTCTCCGATGGCACTGTGGAATGTTGCGAGGAGATTTTTCGTTCGTGGAACAAATCTTAGCAGTGTTATGTGAAGCTGAAGTCAGCTGTATTGGAGTCATCCAGCCCCCACAGCAATGTGACAAGACTGTATATACACACAAGTCACATTCAGCAGCCTCGTGCTGCACTGTCTGTCACCCACACATGTTCTTACCTTTCTTTGCTGCAGAGACCCGATGCCCCAATAGTAATAATAATAAGGTGGATGTAAAAATAAATAAGACAAATCAGATAATAAATAAGATAGGAGCAGCAGTGTTGAAGGAAAGCACGATCCAACGCGGCAGCGATTCTAGGAGTGCTGATCACCCGGGTAACCCTCGCTTAATAGCTATAGGAGGGGCGGAGCGGAGCCATGCGTCATATTTCATCAATACACTTTTCTTTGTGTATCAACACAGAAAGCCAGGCCCCCTTCTCCACTACACTGACCTGGGCTCTGAGAGGACATGTGCCTTGGTGCGCGTTTCTGCTAGGATAGGCTGTGTTTGTTGTAGGCTGCCAGGGCGCTGCTATGCCTCACGTGAACTTGACGAGTCTTCGGGCATTATTCTTCAAACATGATATGACTAACCATGATAGAACACCGGGGCCCTTGCATGCTACTGGGAGAACCTGGAGGCTGTGTTTCTGACTTCTCTTTCTGAAAGTACTATAAATATATACATATAAAAGACACATCTGTGAAGCTCAGTACTCATTTACAGGAGGGGATTTATCAAAACTGGAGCCGCGGAATCTTTAACCCATAGCAACCAATCTGCTTCTCTCTTTCATTTTTAAAGCTTGAGTGAACAAATTGAAGAGAGAAGCTGATTGGTTACTATGGGCAACTGCTACAGATTCTGCCTGCTCTGTTTTTTTCCAAATTCTCCCCAATTCCGGGCAGATATAGAAGATGCATATCAGTGTAGGTCTGTATTAATAAGGGCCATTTCACACTAATTCAGAGTGGTAGCTGCTGGAACGCACAGATATCGCACACTAAACTCACCCCTTCGTTCTAGGTCGGGAGGGGGCGTGGCGGTGTATTGAAGTCAATGGCACCCGCCATTGCCTGCTTTCCGGTCCACTTGGTACGTGAAAAATTGCTGCATGCTCTAATTTGGGCGTTTTAACTGGACCGGAACGCAGGCAATATTTTGGCTGTGGTTCCATTGACTTCAATGTCCTGCTGCAGAACGAAGGAGCGAGTTTAGTGTGCGATTGCAGTGCGTTCCAGCAGCTACCGCTCTGGAACGCATCGCAATTGGTGTGAACTGGCCCTAAAAGTGAAAAGAAATGTGATCGGCTGGGTTTCTATGGCAAGACTGTGTAAGGTCTTGTCCACACCATCTCCAGACCAGATCAGGATGCGTTGTTTAGGTGCATTTTGATGCATTGTTATGTGTTCTGGTGCATTTAAAAAAAATGGGTTTTGCTAGGGTTTTCAACACGTTCCAGTGCGTTTACATGTGTGATGTAATGACGTGTGTACTGGGTGACACCCGATGACCGCACCGAGTGACACCCGGCCTGGTGACGCCGCTTAGGCGCGGCATGCTCAAATGAAGGGAGTCCCTTGCACATGCCCGGCCAATCAACCAGTTGAATACTCAAAACCCAGAAGAAGACCGGGACGAAGGTGGAATCAACAGTGAGAAGGCTTTGGTATGTCAGCCTGCCATAATGTGCTAATATTCTGGCTGTTCATACTAGCACATTATGGTTAAAAGCTCCAGGACTCACCCTCACTTTAATTCTGCTTTTCAAAACATTACTACACTATATTGCCAAAAGTATTGGGACACCCCTCCAAATCATTGGATTCAGGTGTTCCGTGTAATTTCCTTGCTACTAAATATTCCACGGTCACCTGTTAGTGGTATTATAACAAAGTGGAAGTAACTGGGAACAACAGCAACTCAGCCACGAAGTGGTAGGCCATGTAAAAATGACAGAGCGGGGTCAGCGCATGCTGAGGTGCACAATGTGCAAAAGTCGCCAACTGTCTGCAGAGTCAATATCTACAGACCTCCAAACTTCGTGTGGCCTTCAGATTGGCACAACAACAGTGCATAGAAAGCTTCAGGGAATGGGTTTCCATGGCCGAGCAGCTGCATCCAAGCCTTACATCACCAAGTGCAATGCAAAGCGTCCGATGCAGTGGTGTAAAGCACGCCGCCACTGGACTCTAGAGAAGTGGAGACGTGTTCTCTGGAGTGACCAATCACGCTTCTCTGTCTGGCAATCCAATGGACCTGTCTGGGTTTGGCGGTTGCCAGGAGAACGGTACTTACATGACTGCATTTTGCCAAGTGTAAAGTTTGGTGGAGGGGGGATTATTTTTCAAGGGTTGGGCTTGGCCCCTTAACTCTTAAGGCATCAGCATACCAAGACATTTTGGACAATTTTATGCTCCCAACTTTGTGGGAACAGTTTGGGGATGGCCCCTTCCTGTTCCAACATGACTGTGCACCAGTGCACAAAGCAAGGTCCATAAAGACATGGATGAGCGAGTTTGGGGTGGAGGAACTTGACTGGCCTGCACAGAGTCCTGACCTCAACCCGATAGAACACCTTTGGGATGAATTAGAGCGGAGACTGCGAGCCCGGGCTTCTCCCACAACATCAGAACCTGACCTCACAAATGCGCTTCTGGGAGGATGGCCAAACATTCCCATAGACACACTCCTAAACCTTGTGGACGCCTTCCCAGAAGAGTTGAAGCTGTTATAGCTGCAAAGGGTGGGCCAACTCAATATTGAACCCTACAGACTAAGAATGGGGTGCCATTAGAATTCGTGTGCGTGTAAAGGCAGGCGCCCCAATACTTTTGCCAATATAGTGTATATGTGTTCTAATGTAGATGAGAAAGGAGAGTCTCTGTGTCAGGATAGCAGCTCACAGCTAATAAGGAGCTACAAGTCCCAGCAGACTCAGTCGCAGCATACACAGGTGCAGAGCTATATGTCCCAGCAGCTCTAATCTCCTTCTAGTCTCTCTCTAGTGAGTTCCTCCATGTCTAGCACAGGAGCAAACTTCTATTTGCACACTTTTCTCTGAACACAGGTCTGTTTGTATTGTACCTGGAGTTCAACAATCTCATCTCAAATTGCTGGAGTCGAGGTGT